TGTCCTTCATTTTCAAAGAAGACCAGTGACATCACAGAGGGATATCTTGACTTGTGCATGAATTGGATTTAAGTGAGGCAGAGTTGTACAAAGTCATCAGACTCACTCTCTCTTCCAGATTAATCAAAGTCCAGTGGTAAGACAAAAGTCAAGATGACTGTAGGCACTATGTACCTTACCAGGTTTTGTTAAAAGAGTGCTTTGTGAACCTTAAGGCATTTGAAAGCTTGAATGTGAGTTATTACTTCCATGCTAATAATATTGTTATTTGGAAACATGAGAATACTTTATAGTCTGTTTGTGGCATTCTAGGTACTACATGTTATCTCTAATTACTGTTTAGTTAGGCAGTGTGATGCAGTAGAGGGAACATTGAGCTTGGAGCTGGAGGCCTGGGTTCTGATTCTACCTCTGCTATGTAACCTGAGGAAAGTAAGTAATTTTTCTTCTCTGGGTCTTCAGTTCTTCAGTTTCTTCATCTATAAAAGAGATTGGACTAGATAGTCTCTAAAGTACCTTCCAATTTTAACAGGCTATGTGAGTATTTGTATTTGTTTAGGGTATCTCACTAGGGAAGATAGTTAGTAAGGCCCTGGCAGCCTTAGAGGTGGTAGTCTACCTACAGAAATTCCACATGAACCAAATTTCAGTTCAATGATAGATTGTACCCTTTTGCCATTTTCTTGTTCCTCATCTCCATATCCCTTTAAAATGAAGAGTTTCTTGGTAGGAAAATATTGTGGAGTGGCTGCTCACTGGGGACTTTCATAGAAGAAATAATGCAATAAAAATAACTGGATTTTCAGTAATATATATTTTTAGTTACTATATGGTAGCTAAAGAATTGTGCTATTACAGGAAAAGAGGTAAATTTAAAAAAAACCAGCTTTTTGGGAATCAGAAGATGTAATGGAGGAAGAGCAATGGAAGGAAAAGATAAAGATGAGAAAAAGGCAATGTTATGTGGTTTCTTGGGACTAACTGAATTGCTGTTCTTTTACTTCCCCTCTGCCAATAGTTTCCAAAAACAAAATCTTCTTAGGCTTTCATTTTTATAGAAATGGCAGCCAAAAGCAGAAATATATCCAAAAAGATCTAGACAGACTACAGCATTGGACTGAATCTAATAAGATGAAGTTCATTAGGGATAAATATAAAGTCATATGTTGTTATTGTTGTTCAGTTGTGTCCAATTCTTCATGACCCCATGGACTATAGTGTACCAATAATGTCTGTGAGGTTTTCCTGGCAAATATACTAGTGTGGTTTGCCATTTCCTTCTCCAGTGGATTAAGGCAGACAAAGGTTAAATGTCTTGCCCACAGTCACATAGCTAGTAGGATTTGAACTTAGTTCTTCCTGACTCCAGGCCCAGCACTCTGTCCACCAAGCCACCTGACTGCCTCTTGGGTACCAAAAAATAAACTTCATAAATATAAGAGAGCATGGCTAGATAAAAGTTCTGAAAAAGACTGGTAGATTTTATTATATAACAAACACTAGAAGTCAGCAGTGTGAAATGCAGCTGCATCAGTTGATGAATAAGCATTTTTATCAAGGGCCTTCTGTCTCGTAGGCATTATAGTAGGCCCTTGGGACACAAATACGAAAAAAAAAGTTGTGCTCTCTGGGGTTGCATTAAGAGGAGCCTAGTTTCTAGGAATAGGTAAATGATCTTCTCTCTGTACTCTGCCCTCATTAGACACCCTCTGAAGTATTGTGCTAAGTTCTCGGTACAAGACATTCATAAGCCAGAACATCCAGAGGGTAACCAGGTCCTGGAATCCATTTCATATGAAGATCCAGAAAAGGAACTGGGCATATTTAGTCCAGAGAAGAGGAGATGCCAGGGGAACATGAGAGCTGTCTTCTAGTAGTATAGAAGAGGGATTAGACTCATTCTCTGGCCTGAGAGGGAGCAGTGGATAAGAGTGACATGGAAGCAAGCGTAGGCTCAGTATCAAGAGTAACTTCCTAATGACTGGAGCTGTCCAAAAGTGGGGTCAGCTGCCTCAGGAGGGAGTAAACTCTCCCTCCTTGGAGATCTTCAAGCAGGTGCTGGATGACTTTTTGTAGGGGATGTTCTAATGGCAATTACTTTCATGCTTGGGTTGGATTCGATGGTCACTGAAGTCCCTTCCAGTTCACAAATTATGTGATTCTGTGATTAGCTGCTTAGTGGTACAGTATGAAAAGAATCATTTTGAAATTATTTAAAGGAAAAAAGTGAATCTATTTGATGATTTAATATTCCCTTCAGGAGTTCTTGGCTCATGTCATGGAAAGCAAGTGAAATTACAAACTCAAATTGGAGAAATAATAACCCTGGTTCCTAATTCCAGAAAAATTCCTGAATTTAATTTTCAGAAGTTTTGTTTGTGATACTGCTTCATTGAATCATAGAACTTAGAATCGAAAAGGACCCCTGAAGTATCTTGTCCAAATATATACCTGGAAGGAATCCCCACTCTAAGATACCTAGCCTCTATATGAACACCTCCAATGAAAAGGGACCCATCACCTCCTGAGACAGCTCCATGCCCCCTTTGGACAGTGCTAATTGTTAGGAAGCTTTTCCTGACATTATTCTCAACCACAGCTGCCCGTAATTCAGTCTCCTGAGGCCTGCTCCAGGTTCGCTGAGGCCTGGTTTCCCTGTGCATTCACACTGAACTGCGTTTTCTCTCCCAGCCTGGAGCGATAGACCTTTTTAATCAACCATCCAGGTTGTCTTGGGCTGGAAATTTGTTTCACTCTTGTCTTTTTGTGGGTTCTGCTGCCCTAGAATTTGTTTAGAGCCATTTTTTACAGGTATTTGAAGGGGTTTGGGGGAGAGCTTATGCAAGTCACTGCTTTTACTCTGCCATCTTGGCTCTGCCCCCTGGTAATTTCATGAAAGATAATGTATAGGCTTGTTTTTTTGATCGTGGCTTTCAGGTAGTCCAATAATTTTTAAAATTATCTCTCCTGGATCTATTTTCCTGGTCAGTTGTTTTTCCAATGAGATTTTTCACATTGTCTTCTATTTTTTCATTCTTTTGGTTTTGTTTTATAATTTCTTCATTTCTTGTAGCGTCATTAACTTCTATTTGCTCCATTCTAATTTTTAAGGAATTATTTTCTTCAGTGAGCTTTTGGATCTCCTTTTCCATTTGGCCAATTCTGCTTTTTAAGGCATTCTTCTCCTCATTGGCTTTTTGGACCTCTTCTGCCATTTGGTCTAGTCCATTTTTTAAGGTGTTATTTTCTTCATTATTTTTTTGGGCCTCCTTTACCAAGCTATTGATTCATTTTTCATGATTTTCTTGCATCACTCTCATTTCTCTTCCCAGTTTTTCCTCTACTTCTCTTACTTGATTTTCAGAATCCTTTTTGAGCTTTTCTGTGGCCTGAGACCATTTCATATTTTTCTTGGAGGCTTTGGATATAGGAGCTTTGACTTTGTTGTCTTCTTCTGATTGTATACTTTGATCTTCCTTGTCACCAAAGTACGATTCTATAGTCAGAGTTTTTTCCATTGTTTGCTCATTTTCCCAGCCTATTATTTGACTTTTTAACTCTTTGTTAAGGTAAAGTTTTGCTTCCAGTGTGGAGGACAAACTGTCCCATGCTTCGGGGGTTTTGTGCAGCTGTTTTCAGAGATACTTCTAGGGACCTGTAAGTTTTCAGTTCTTCCAAGGCGGTATAATCTATGGAGAGGTGTTTACTTTTCTCCTGGCCTGTGCTTTGGTCTGTGAGGGATCGCAAGCACTCTTTTCTGCCCTTTAACTGTGAGGAAGGTCCCCTCTCCACTGCTGCCACAAGCTCTGCTATGCCAGTGCTTCTCTTCACACCAGGACTGCCACCCAGATCCAAGTATGGGCAAAGCAACAGAGTCTTGCTTCAGTGCTAGCAAAGAGACCCCTGTTATCTCCTTCTGACCAGTTGTTCAATCCTCTTACTGTCTGTGGGCTGAGAGCTCCAGGAGCAGCTGCTGCCACTTCCAATTCTGTCACTCCCAAGACTTGCTCCTGGTTTGCTGGGGCTGTGGTTGTGCTGGTGTTGCCTGTGTTGTACTGTGCTCCTCCCTCACTCAGGTCTGACAGACCTCTCCTGCTGACCTTCTAAGTTGTCTTTGGTGTCTGGGGCTGAGAAGTCTGGAAACCACCACTGTTGCTAGTGATTCAGTCCCCTGAGGCCTGCTCCAGGTTTGTGCTGGTGTGGCCTGTGCTGTACTGTGCTGCTCTATCAGCCTGGTGCAATAGACCTTTCCTGTCGACCGTCCAGGTTGTCTTGGGTTGGAAATTTGTTTCACTCTATCTTTCTGTGGGTTCTACTGTTCTAGAATTTGTTTAGAGTCATTTTTTAAAGGTATTTGAAGGAGTTTGGAGGGAGAGCTCAGGTGAGTTCCTGCCTTTTACTCTACCATCTTGGCTCCACCCCCATCAGTACATGTCTTTTAAGGATATGTGTATATACATATACATATATGTATATATATATATATATATACACACCACATTTTGCAGTTTTAGAAAGGATAGAAAATATATATAAGTAAAATTAAAAGGAGACATGTTTTTGTAGTAGAATTTTAGCACTCTTAAGTATCATATTTATGTAGTATGGTTTTCTTTTTAGTGTTTTCCTGAATCAACAATTGACAGCCTATTTAACACTGTAATAATAACCTAATGTTGTTGGCTTTTATTTTGTTATTTTTCCTCCAGTTAACCAAAAGTGCCATGTGACATATACTTATTAGAAAGTATCCTCCACAGCCCTTTCCTGCTCCAAGTTAATAATCTTATGATTCTTGGGAGGTGCCTGGTATTCTTATCCAACAAGCTGGAAATCATTATATTCAGAAATTCCTAATGGTCTGGCCATTTATATTAAAGAATTATCTTGATCTGACTGATCATAAAAGAGAAAGTATTGATTGAAAATAATGATTAAAATGGAATTAACAAATATTAAGTTTATTTGAGTCATTAATATTTACTGGTTGTTGTTTTCAGATGAGAAGAAGCAGATGGTCGCTAATGTGGAGAAACAGCTAGAAGAAGCAAAAGAACTGGTAAGTAGAATTTGGCTATTGAATTAGAACACAGTGGTTGTCAATAATGGATGAAATGTCTTCTTAGGAATTTTTCTCCTGTCTGTTTTTTAGTTCTTGAGGCAGAAGGAAAAACTGTTGATTAGTCTTTTAATATAAAATAGTTCATCAACTTGGAAAAGTTTAAAACCTTGGGTTTAAAACCTTGTTATCATTTACAAAATATTTACCCATTGCCTGCAATTAATACCTTGTTAGGTGATGCGGAGGAATTGTAAGATCTTTGTTATCTACAGAAATACCTATGTTTAAAAAAAAATCTATGTTTTCCATAGTAAGACAGTAGTTGTATAGAGTAGACCCCAAATTTTTGGATAAGAGAATTTCCCTTAGAGCCAAGGATTTGACCCTTTACCTACTGAACCCTTTTATTTTATTTTTTAATGGGAATTTTTCTAACATACATTATTTATATCCTTTATTAAACGGAGCATGTGGACCATAACTTAACACTTTCTTTTAACATAATCACGTGCTGTAAATACAAATGCATGTATTAATGAGATAAGACATGGGGCTTGAGTGACTTAGTCTGACACTTTACTACTATAGATCATTGAAACTTACTGGTTTGTGTGCCTTTAACATGATACATTGATGGCCTCAGGGGCCATTGAGGTAGGTTGGCTGTTTTGACCTAACCTACCCCTTCTTGAAGTTCAAGATTCCTGATGTCTTACATCAAGTGCTCTGCTATTGAGGTGCAAAGCTGTTCCATCTTTTGGCTTTCCTTTGCTGAATCTCTTCTCTGCTGTCAGATTCTTCCCTGCTTTTAATCTTTGCCAGCCACTGCTGCTTTTAATCTCTACTGATTCAGCTGTCTGCTGCTCTCTTTCCTTTTCTTTCTGTCTCCTGTGGCTCTCCCCTGCTTCTTGGCTTTCTAGCAAAAAGGCTGCTCCCCTTTCTAACCATCATCTGCTAATCAGAATGCTCCATTCCTTGTGGTTGGCAAACTGACCCAGACTGCTGTGCATCAGGCATAACTGTCAGATTGGCATCTCTTCTCAGCTGTTTTTATTGTTGCTAAGATCTTAGGAGTGGCTTTTTTCCCCCATCAACAACATTGTGTGTTTTGTGGTAGGGAGTCATTACTATGGTTTTGGAGTTGTTCCAGAGACTTCAGGATGCTAGAATTCTAGTCTCTATCTCACACTTTTAAAAAAAAAAATGCAAAATGTTTTTGTATGAAGAAATAGAATTTCTGGCCTCAGGTAGCTTATAATCTCTTTGTTTTTAGAGATTTTTGCAGAAAATTTGCCCAGGATGATTTAGTTTTTAAAATATTACAAATAATTTGTTCTTTTGGTTCAATTTTATAAAGAAAAATGGTTTTACCTATAGATAGTACTTTAGGGCTTGAAAAGTGCTTTGCCCTAAAACTGCTTTCTCCCCCTGTGGGGCAGGTATGTAATGATTATTATTCCCATTTGCAGATAAGAAAACCAAGGTTTGGAGGGCTGAGGTGATTTGCTCTTTGTCATGTGGTTGCTATCAGAAGCAAGCCTTGTTCCAGTTTTTTGGCTTTGATCCAGACCTTTTCTTGCTACCTCATATACATACTGCTTTGCCTGTAGTTTTGCCTGTAGTTATTTGGGTTAATAAATACTTCCCACGACAGAATGTTTCTCTTCTGAGATAAAGCTATCTAATTAAGAAAATTTGAATGTTTGTAAGAAGCTCTTATTTTTAAAATTTTTTTTTAGAAAATGAATTAGGACTGGTAAACTTCAAGGATCTCTGTGGTGCTCTTTCCTTTTACTATTCCATCATAATAGATGGTCTTAAAACCTGTTTAGACGAAAAACTCATCTCCACATGAGAAACCTGATGATAAGTCTTTCTGATCTAGGTTGGTTCTTGGTTAATAGTTATATATGGTCCATCCTTGGGCCCATACTTGAAACCTAGGTGTAGGAACTGCCACGGCTTGCAATTTAGTAATCCAACAAGGCCATGCCACAATGAATAATCACAGTAGATAACATTTTTATTGCACTTCAAGTTTTGCAAAGAGCTATACATATGTTATCTCATTAGAGCCTTACAACAACCTTGAAAGGTAGGTGCTAAGGGTATTATTTTCTCATTTTAATAGATGAGGAAACAGAGTTTCAGAGAGGTTTAATGACTTCTCTGTAGTCACACACCTAGTAAGTGTTAGAGGTAGGTTTTGAGTCTGGGAAGGCCAATGTTCTTCATACTACACCATATTTCTTCTTAGACGAGTAGAACTTTAGTAGAGGGCACACAAATCATGCACATCTGTGCCACTTGGCACCAATTTCTTACTATTCAATAGTAATAAGAGATCAACACCAATGATAATCATAGTAATCATCCTCATTGTAATAGCCAGCATTCATAAAGCATGTTAAGGTTTGCAAAGCACTTTGAACATGTAATCCATTGATTATGTTGGTTAGAAATACAATCAGGTTTCAGAAAGTTTGATACTATTGTCAGAATGACTAGATACTGTGTAGTCTCAAACTGAAAAAAAAAACTACTTTGAAATATTGAAACTGGAAAGTAATAACATTGTAATATTGTGATACAGATAAGTAGTATCTCTATCCTACTTTCTATTGCCAAAGGCTTTAAAATAACACTACAAGTAAATTAGACTTCTCTATCTAAAGGATCTAATTTTCATAGAAATTTACCTGCCAGTTCTGAAAATCTATTTGCATCTATTATTTCCCCTCTTTATTCCCAAATGATCCAAAAGGATCCTGAACTCTTGCAAGGTTGAAGCCCAGAACCTCCTCTACTGTGGCATCAATAGTAATTTTCAGAAGTAGCTTCTGACAACTGTCAGAAGGAAGGGGAGGAACCTAAGGGAGAAACTAGTTTAAGTAATGGATCCTGTTTTATGCTGCTTTTGCCAAGGTAAGTCAAGAATGGGAACCAGGAACCTAGCTACTGGATTATTCCTTCAAAGACATTTAAAGTAACATTTGCTTTTATAGCATTAAAAAGTCTTTTGTTTTGTCATGGAAAGATTTTTTGCAAGGTAAAACAGAAGAAACTTTTATGTTTTGTATTACTTCTTGAATAAGTACGTTTTGGAGAAAAATTATTATGTAATTGTAGTGAAAAATTAATCTCATCCTTGCCATGAAGTAGCTATGTCGTTTTGGGCAAATCACTTAACAGTTCTGTGTCTGTTTTCTTATATTTTAAAATCAAGGCATGAAATTAGAGTCCCTTTAATCTGTGATTCTATTATAGTCTTCAAATCACTTTTTTTCTCCTTCCATTATTAGCTTGAACAGATGGATCTAGAAGTCCGAGAGATCCCTTCACAGAGCAGAGGAATGTATACCAGCAGAATGAGGAGCTACAAGCAAGAAATGGGAAAACTTGAAACAGATTTTGTGAGTCAAATTCCACTCATAGTCATATTTCTGGGACTTTGCCCTGAATTCCTCACCTCTGATTTTTTCATTATTTCCTTTAACCAGTTTTATGTGGATAGAACTCAGTTGCTTATTCAAAATTTTGTTTAGGAAATCTAGTGCTATCATTTGCCAGTAATGGAATTTCAAACATGCCAGATCAGTAATTCCAATATGGGTCCAAATCATGTGTTCCATTATTCCCAATTAATATATGTATTGAACATTGTGAAGTACTAAATTTATAAAATAATTTATAAATCATAGTCCCTGACCTCAAGCATTTCAGTTTGCCCTCTTGCCTCAGATAAACCTCTTTCATTTGGGAGAAAAAGAAGATTAAGATGTTTTTCCTGTTAATTTTAAAAAATTTTTTTTCCTGTTAATTATATTTTTTAAATTTCTTGTTATTGTATGACAACATTGATTTTTCTCTTTTTCTAATTCTGGATTTAAGCTCTTTAAATTTAAGCATATATGTTATTTGCTGTGATTTATTTTTAGTTATTCAAAGAGTAAAACCAGCACTGTCCTATTAATTTTTAATGGAAAGTAATCCTTTATATTAGGCACAAATTCATGAAAGAAACTGAATCACTTAGCTTTCTGAAAACATATAGACTCTGAAACTGGGAAAGAAAAGTCCTAGCTCTGCCCCCAGCCTTAATATGATGATGTGACTATGATTCTAGCAAAGGTCTTTGCTTTCCTCAGCCTACCTCGATCTCATTTTAGAGAAAGGAAAAGAAGGTGATAACTCTCAAGAGTCAGCATTGGTACTAACTTCTGGAACCAGAGTACTGTCCAATCTCTTGGAGACAACATAGCATAATGACAAAAGTACTATCTCAGTTTAGGTGTTAAAACAAAACAAAACAAAACCCTGGGTTCCAGTGAAGGCTGTACCACATATGAACTATTCTTTAGGGAAATCACGTAAATTTCAGTTACCAGCAATTTCTTCAGCAAAAATAAGGATCATAACCTTTTTTTCCTCTCAAAGTTCTTTTGAAGATCACACGAGTATTTCTCAGTGATTGGGGGTGAGGTGAAATTACTTTTTCTTTTGAATATCTCAAAGCATTCCTTAGATGTGATGTTATTTGTATGAATATGATCATACAATCAAGGGCATTATGATATTATCCATTGGCCTGCAGTGTAGCTTAGAATTGTTCTATCAGATGGTAGCTCCACTCAGGGACCAAAGATCATTAGAATTAACATAACCTATCAAGTGTAGGTAGGAGGTGAAAAGTAGAAGAAAAGTATTTATGTATTCACTTCTTTCTTTGGACAAAATTGTCCCACAGAGTGGAATCAGGTATTACTTTTAGTTAGGGTGTAAAATCAACCATCCAGATCATTCACATTGTACAAATAGGGAAACTGAATTGTAAGTCCAGAGGCCTCTAATTTTTTTTTGAGGGCGGGGGCGAGAAGAGTTGGACTATATCTTCTAATACCTTTTAGCTAGTCAGTGCTAGAGAAGAAGGTATTCAACTCTAATCTCCCAGCTTTGATCCAGAAGTCTGGAATTGAAATTCATTAACATTGAATACCTATAAAAGGAAGAAGAACAAAAGAAACAGTAACAAAGTGATACTATTGGATTACTCACTGCCCTCTATATATTCCCCATCCTTTTCTGTTTGTGTGTCTTTTTTGCTATTTCCTTTATGCCTGGAATACACCTTTCCACTTCTCTTCTATCCCCTTGGCCTATTGAATTCCAGCTTATTCTTTAAAGCCCAACTCAATACCTTCTCCAAGAAGTCTTTCCCAGTCTGAAATTTGTTTTCCCCCCAGAACCTTACAGAAAATCTTGTTTTGCTCCTCTCCAATAATGTTATTGTGCCTCATTTTGTATTATAGCTTTTGATAGATTGCCCATTTTGAGGTCTGGGCCTATCTGCCCTAATGCCTTAGCACAGTGTTCCGTCCATTTCAGACACTTGATACATTTGTTGAAGGGCTAATATGAGGATGGCCTATTGAGAAAACATTGGGGAAAAAAACCATCTTTGAATAGTGTCATGCCACAGAATACATTAAAATACAAACAAATGTAATAAAGGTTGGATACCTCTCCAAAGAAGGTAGTATAAATTCTTAAGCCAAGGCAGAGAGATTCCAGGGATAGCACAATACTAGCCACCTCTTCCTTCCCACCCCAAAGTACAGGTTTTCATTTGAGTTGTCCCAACCTGAGCACATAACAATATCACTCTTCTGAGCTCCCATTCCACATCACTAGATGGACACTTTCTCTTAGGTGATGCATAGGCAACTCATTTAGTCATTTAGTCAATAAGCCTTTATTAAGTACTTACTGTGTTCCAGAGTTTGTGCTAAGTGCTAAGAAATTTTTTTTCTTCTTTTTTTATGGTAATTTTTATTTATTTTTTTTTGTTTTCTACATTTACTTCCACAAGATTTTGAGTTCCAAATTTTCACCCCATCTTGCCCCTCCCCCACCCCAAGATGGCATGCATTCTGGATACCCCTTCCCCTAGTCTGCCTTCCCTTCTATCTCTCCACCCCCCTTCTCCTATCCCCTTCCCCTTCAATTTTCCTGTAGGGCAGGACGGATTTCTGTACCCCATTTCCTGTATTTCTTATTTCCCAGTTGCATATGAAAACATTTTTTTTAAACATTAGGTTTTTAAAACTTTGGGTTCCAAATTTTCTCCCTTTCTCTGTCCCCGCCCACCCTCACTGATGAGGCAAGCAACTAACTATAGGTTATATATGTGCAGTTATGCAAAACACTTCCATAGTAGACGTGCTGTGAAAAACTAACTCTATTTCCCTTAATCCTATCCCACCCTCCCATTTATTCTATTCTTTCTTTTGACCCTGACCCTCCTCAGAAGTACTTGCTTCTGATTACCCCCTTTCCCAATCTGCCCTCCTCTCTATCATCCCCCCTAGTCCCTTGTCCCCTCGCCTCCCCCCATTTTCTTGTAGGGTAACACAGATTTCCATACCCAATTGAGTGTGTATGTTATTCCCTCCTTAAGTCAAATTCTATGAGAATAAGATTCACTCATTGCCTCTCACCTTCCCCCGTTTCCTCTCCACTGTAAGAGCCTTTTCTTTTCTGTTTTTTTTTGTGAGATAATTTACCCCATTCTACCTCACCCTTTCTCCTTCTCCTAGTATAATCCTCTCACCCCTTAATTTTATTCTCCAGATATCACCCCTTCATTTTCAACTCACCCTGTGCCCTCTATCTATCTATCTATATCTATACATATGTACATATAATTTTTTCCCCTCCAACTACCCTGATATTGACGAAGGTCTCATGAGTTACAAATATCATCTTTCCCTGCAGGAATGTAAACAGTTCAACCATAGTAAGTCTCTTATGATTTTCTCTTTCCTGTTTACCTCTTCATGTTCCACTTGAGTCTTGTATTTGAAAATCAAATTTTCTATTCATTTCTGGTCTTTTCATCAAGAATGCTTGAAAGTCCTCTGTTTCACTGAATGACCATTTTTTTCCCCTGTAGGTTTATACTCAGTTTTGCTGGGTAGGTGAAGTGCTAAGAAATTTTTAAAAAAGGCAAAATACAGTCCCTTCCTTCAGTGACCTCATATTCTGATGGAGGAGATAACATGCATATAATTATGTACATACAAGGTATATACAGAATAAATGGGAAATAATCTCAAGAGAGAATGCCCTAGCAAAGTTTAGGGGAAGGAAGCGACAGGGAAAGCCCTCTTAAAGAAGGTTAAATTTGATCTGAGTCTTGAAGGAGGCCAGGGAAGGCAGGAGACAGAAGGGAGAAGGGAGAGCATTCCATGCACGGGGAATAGCTAGTGATAAAGTATGGAGTCAGGTGGTGAATTGTAGTGGATGAGGAATAGCAAGGAGGCCATTATTGCTAGATCATGGAACATATGGAGGAGAGTAAAGTGTAGGAAAAGTGGAAAGGTAGGAAGTAGCCAAATTCTGTAGGGCTTTAAACGCCAAACTAAATTTTGTATTTGATCCTGGAGGTAATAGGAAGCCACTAGAGTTTGAAACCTAGCAGTTACCTTCCCCTCTTTACTTTTCTTCACCCTCCCCCCCCATATTTACTTATTTGCCAAGGGTTATCAATTTGATTCTCTCTCTCTCTCTCTTTTTCTCTCTCTCTTTCCCTCTCTCTCCCTCTCTCTCTCTCTCTCCCACACACACACACACATACACACATTTATTCCCTCATTTCTACTCCCGTGGCCTCCATGTTAGTTCAGGCCCCTCAGCACCCCTCACCTGCACAAATGTAATAGACTAATAATTGGGCTCCCTGGTTCTTATCTCTCCTTTTCTCAGTCCAGCCTCCATACAGCTGCAAAACTAATATTCCTAAATCACAGTTATGATCATGTCACTACTGTGCTCATATCCTAATACCTCTAGGCTAAGATAAAAACTCCTCTAGGGGGCAGTTAAAGCCCTCATAATCTATTTCCAATTGATCAATTTCATATTCTTCCAGCCCCAACCCCTGCATACTCTTGTGTTCCACCCAATCTTCCAATTAGTCAACCAACAAGCATTTGTGAAGAATGTATTATGTGCTAGGCATTTCTATTATTGGTAAATGATGTATCCTTGCTTCCATCTCTTTGCCTTTGTATGAGCTGTCCTCTTTTCTCATCGCTACCTTTTGGAATTTCTCTTTCCCAGACTCAGCTCAGGTGCCACTTTTTATACAAGGATTTTCCTAATTCCCACCCCTCCACTACTGCCAATACTCTCCACCTTATTTTGTATTTATTTTGTATGCATTTAGTGTTTTCTTATTTGTATACATGTTATTTTCCCCTTGTTCTTAGAGACAGTGACTATTTGGTTTTGTCTTTATATACCCAGCCTCTAGCACAATGCCTTATTTGTATTAGATGCTTAATAAATGATTGTTGAAATGTATTGGAATACTGTAGCATTGCTAGAAATTTTGAGTACTAAACGAAATGTC